CCCTATTTGTAATTACCTCAAGTGGTGATAGTTCATATGTTCAAATTACCACATTATGGTATGAAACTAATAAAATCATTAGGGAGAACAAGGAAAAAGGACCTGATTTAAGACTGAGGAATCAGAAAATGCTTCTTAGAAGTAGCCCTAAACTAAGATCTTGAGTTACTATATGGAGCCAATAATAACTGCAGGAGGAGAAAGTTCCCCAATGGAGGAAACTATTTTTTCCAAAGACCTAGTAGAAACAAAGAAAGCACAGCAAGTTCTAAAAACAGAATATTTCTGAATGGCTGGAGTATACAGTGTAAAAGAAGGCAAAGGAAATGAGGGAGATGAGAGAAATAGACAGGAGTCATTTCATAAAAAGCCTTGAAGGTATGTTAATAAGTCTGAACTTTACCCAAGAACAATGATGAGTTTTACACAGAGGAGTAATAGGACCAGATTTTCTAATATGTTACAAAGGACATTCTAGCTTAAATACATTAAAAGGATTGATGGAGGAAAAACCAGAGATTAAAAGAAAAAGAAACAGAAAAAACAAAAACAACCAGTTAAGATGCTACTGCAGGGGCGCCTGGGTGGCTCAGTTGGTTAAGAGGCTGCCTTCAGCTCAGGTCATGATCTCAGGGTCCTGGGATCGAGCCCTGCGTCAGGCTCCCTGCTCAGTGGGGAGCCTGCTTCTCCCTCTCCCTGCCACTCTCCCTGCTTGTGCTTTCTCTCTCTGTCAAATAAATAAAATCTTTAACAACAACAACAAAAAGATGCAACTGCAGATGGTGGGAACAGCTGCTTTAAAGGTAGGGGGAAGAATTCCAGAAGGAAATACCACTTCATAGAGAAAATAGGGAAGAAATAATGTTCAGAAATATAAGAATTTTCCAGAACTGGGGGGCCTGGGTGGCTCAGTCAGTTTTAAGTGTGTGACTTCAGCTCAGGCCATGATCCCAACATCCTGGGATGGAGCCCCGCATTGGGCTCCCTGCTAAGTGGGGAGTCCGCTTCTCTCTCTCCCTCTGCTCCTCCCCCCAGCTCCTGCTCTTTCTCTCTCTCAAAGAAATAAAATAAAATCTTTAAAAAAAAAGAAAAAGAATTTTCCAGACTAATGGAAGATCTTAATCCTCAAATTCAGGAAACTCAACTTAGACCAAGTAGGATTAAGAAAAAAATAAAAAAACTAACTCCACACCTAAATATATCCCAAAGAAACAACAAAACATGAAAGACAAAGAGAATATTAAAAGTAACCAGAGTGGGAGCACCTAGGTGGCTCAGGTCATGGTCCCAGGGTCCTGGAATTGAACCCCATGTCAGGTTCCCTGCTCAGCAAGGAGCCTGCTTCTCCCTCTCCCCAACTCCTGCTCCTGCTCTCTCGCTATCTCTCTCTCAAATAAATAAATAAAATCTTAAAAAAAAGTAACCAGGGGGGGGCCTGCATGGATCAGTCGGCTGGACGGCTGACTCTTGGTTTTGGCTCAGGTCATGATCTCGGGGTCCTGGGATCTAGCCCCATGTGGGGGGTGTCTGCTTGAAGATTTTCTCTCTTCCTCTTCCCCACCCCCCACTCGTGTGCACGCTCTCTCTCAAATAAATTTTTTAAAACAATAAATAAAAGTAACCAGAGAAAAAAGACAAAGGAACAACAATTAAGCTGACAGATGACTTCTCAACAGCAAAAACAAAAGCCAGAAATCAGCAGAATACTATCTTTAAAAGACCTGAGAAATTCCCAAACATATAAAGCAAAATGAAATCTATCCTCTGAACTATGTATACAGTAATAATGAGCACTTAAATACATGGAGAGTAATCTCTAAACACCAATGCCTACTAAACTGAAAGATGAAGAAGAAACTGATAAGTATCATCATGGAGATTTGACATCTCTCTCTCAATAACTAATTGAATAATCAGGAAAAAAATCAGTAAGAAACACAGAGAATCTGAACACTACAATTAACAATGTTAAGTGTGCATTAGTGCACATGTGGGCGTGTGTACATGCATACATTTCGGGCCGAAGTAACAAAACTATGAATGTATGGCAGTGGAAAGTACAGGATTGCTTGACGGGAGAGAAGAGAGTGTATAGTGGGAGATACTATTAAAAATACAAATTAGGGCAGTTTTGGAAAGTGTACTAAACGCAGAGGTAGGGATCATGCAATAATTAAATACTGGGTAACAAGGAACCTACAACGATAAGAGAAGTGGAAAACAAAAAAGTGGAAAATATAAACTAGAAGTAGAAAGATCAAATGATGAAAACCAATATATACAGCATAATTCCTCTTTATTAAAAAAAAAAAAGCATAGGGACACTTGGGTGGCTCAGTCGGTTAAGGGTCTGCCGTCAGCACAGGTCATGATCCCAGGGTCCTGGGACTAAGTCCCACATCGGGCTCCTTGTTCAGTGGGGAGCCTGCTTTTCCCTCTGCCTGCCTCTCTCTCCCTCTCTCTGACAAATAAAAAGATAAGTTGTTAAAAAAAAAGTGTATAAGTGTATGAATTTGTTCATAAAATAGTTTGGAATGATACACACCAAACTGTAGAGGTGACATCTGGGGATGTGCAGGCAAGAGGGAAAAACACTATCTTTATTTCATCATGTTATATTTATTGGCTGTTTTTCTTTTTTTTACAGTACACTTAATAATGCTTTTGTGATATTAAAAAACATGTAAAATAAAAGATTAAAAAGAAAAAAGACACAATAAAATGTTCTAGGAAAGAAGTTGGAGTTTAATTCTGCTAGTTTTTTGTAGTTGTAATTAGCATTTCAAATAAGTACCAACAAGCCAGCTAATCTACTTCCATTATCTGGCAGATATCAGGATACTCTACCAGTATTTGAGAAACTCCAAAAAAAGGTAACTTGGGGAAAAAAAATTTCCTGGGGTGCCTGGGTGGCTCAACTGGTTAAGCATCCAACACTTGATCTCAGCTCAGGTCTTGATCTCAGGGTCGTGAGTTCAAGCCCCATGCTGGGCTCCACACTGGGTGTGGAGCTTACTTAAAAAAAAAAAAAAATCCTAATACTCATCAAAACTAAACAGTATGCTATAATCATCTGTGGCAATTTTACCATAATATACTTTTTAATTATAAAAGTTAACACATGCTATAATTTATCCAATGCAAAGATTTTAAGAAAAAAATAATTTCATGTCCATATTCCACTTAATTTCCTTAGAGTAACCAGTGTTAATATAATATATATACTGACATATCTTTTTTTTTTTTAAAGATTTTATTTATTTGACAGAGAGAGAGAGAAATCACAAGCAGGGGGAGCAGCAGAGGGAGAGGGAGAAGCGGGCTCCCTGCTGAGCAGGGAGCCTGACACAGGGCTTGATTCCAGGACCCCGGGATCACAACCTGAGTCAAAGGCAGACCCTTAACTGACTGAGCCACCCATGTGCCCCCTGAAATATCATTTTGAATGTTTATATAGGGCTCTTATTTTTTGTGTTTTCATAAAAAGAGAATCATATATACAATACTTTACATCTGGTTAGTTATTCATCAGGATAATTTTTAGATGTATTTACCTACAGCTGCAAAAACAGGTTTTCAGTTATCCAAATGAAATAGTTTTATTTGGAGTTTTTTTTAAAGATTTTTTAAAAATATTTATTTATTTGACAGAGATCACAAGTAGGCAGTTTTTTAAGTTACTTTGAGAACAGTAGAAGATACAAAATTCAATCTAGAACAGTTGGGCTAACGAAAATGATAAAATAGGACACAATAACAACCTGGTTACTAAAAGATAAGTTTTTCTTGTTTTTTTTTTTTTGTTTGTATGCTTGTTTTGTTTTTTACAATACACCTTTCTAAGCTACAAATCTATTACCAAGTTTGTTTAAATTATGGTCAATAGTCAAACAAAAATAAACCTAAGTAACCTAAGACACTACATACCAGGCCATGCCAAGTTGGTGCCATGCCAAGTTGGTGCCATGCCAAGTTTTTGCCCCTAAGAAATCCCCGGGAGGATACAGGGGGTGTCTCACCAATTCCGCAGAGGGCTGAGTCAGATTCTGAACTACTGCCTCAAACAGTACTCACACAAATTAGATAAAGTGACCTATGAAGTCATTGTAACCACCCCCATTTCAGGAAATCTTGGCCCCAAAGAAATAACAACCAGTCCTTCGCCCAGGCCAACTTTTACTATATACAGGATGGACCTTCTACTCAAGCCCAAGAAGAATATCTCATCAAAGGTCTTAATGTATATGGTAAATGTAATAAATTCCAATTATCCAAAAATTTACTAAGTTACTCTTACCCATCACCTTTGCCCCTAGCAGAAAAAAAAAATAGTTTTCCTCACTGCAGCACCATCCTTCAGATAGTTATACCTAATCTATGTTAAACGAATTACAATATGAGACATATATCAAGATCCTTTAAATACTATTACCATCACCCACTCTCATGCCGATCCACCACAATATGTGGTGTTTAAACATATACTGCATGTTTTCCTTTTTTTTCTTTTTTTTAAAGATTTATCTATTTTACTGAGAGAGAGGGAGAACAAATGGGAGAGGCAGAAGGAGACAGAAACCTAAGCAGACTCCGTGCTGAGGAAGGAGCCCAACGTGGGGTTCAATCTCATGACCCTGAGACCACGACCCGAGCCAAAACCAAGAGTTGGACACCTAACCTACTGTGCTGCCCAGGCGCCCCTGCTTTGTTTTTAAAAACAGACATGTTCATTTGAAGGCAATGGAGAAAATACATTTAGATTAACAGCATCCTATCTTCTTCAAAAATCTCTACATTTCCCAGAAACTATTCTTTTTTCTTCCTTTTTTTTTTCCTTTGGGGGAGGAATATTCATGGCCATGAATATGACTGGTTTATTGCTCTAAAACTCAGAATGAAAACAACGTGACATAACTTTAGCAGGCATACATTTTAACATGACAGAGTGAGATAACCTTTTTCTTAAAATTTACTACTGTCAATATTCACTCAAAACTTACTTCTAATTCTTTAATTTTTTCTTCTGCTATTTTCTGTTTCTCTAACAGTTGATTGTGAATTACCTCCTTGGACTGAAGAATAAACCTACAAAACACAAAAAAGTTGAAGATTAAGCCACATGACCGCCATAATCATCAAAATCAACAGCTACATACTACAGATATTAAACTAAGAAAATTAAAACAATGATCTTCTAATTCGGGACCAATAAAATGCATTGCTATGTTAATGTGACAAACTCAGGAAACCACCACAGGTTTAAGCCTTGGCTGAGAAGGACTAAAAGTTTAAAAGAAAATTCTGCTTACTACTCTAAGAAGGGAATTAGGCTTTAAGATTCACAAATGAAAAAAATTAAAGGGATAAAAATCTATCACAGTTGCCAAAAGTTAATAAAAATCCACCATAATTTTTATTTTTTCAATTGTCTAGATCAACTTTTATCTAGATATTTTTTTTAAAATATTTATAAGTTAGAGCTCCCCCTCCAATCTTTTTAAACTTTTTTTTTGTAACAGCACTAACTCATGACCTTTTAAAGTCACAATCAAGTACTGTGTTAGGATCAATGCATTAGTGTTTATAGGAGTTCCTCAAACAAAAAGCACTGTATAAAGCCTAGTATCTTTTATTATTATTTCCAAGTTTATAATACCTCTGAAAAGCTCAAAATGCACAAGTGGAAAATTTCAACTTTTTCCATTTTACAGTCAGATATATTATTTACAACTGATGAGAGTGGAAATATAAGGAAGCTTTAAAAATTAGCACTGAATCTGTTTTGTGAACATATGCTCATAATTCTTGCTGTAAGGAAAGAAGAATAAACTATTTTGTAGCCTCAAAAAAGGGAAATGAATTATTTCCCTTCTACTGGACTCAAGTGTCGAACTAGGCATTAACAGATTTCCATTAAAGACTGCACTTAATTAGGCAGATGGTTTCTTCTCTTTGCATATAACTTAGAGTTTAGCCAACAAAGAACTAAATTTTCTTTTTGTTGTTGTTTTTATTGAAGTATAATTGACAAATAATATTCTATTAGTCTCATGTGTACAACACAGTGATTCAATATTTGTGTATACTACAAACTGATTGCCACAGTAAGTCTAGTTATCATCTCTCACCATATAAAGTTAATATAATATTGTTGATTATATTCCCCATGCTGTACATTATATCCCCAAGACTTAAGTTATTTTTATAACTGGAAATTTGTACCTCTTAATCCCCTTCACCAATTTTGCCCTCCAACAGCTCCCCACCCCTAAACTCTGTATCTATGAGTCTGGGTTTTGTTTTCTTTGTTCTGTTTTTTTTAGACTCCACTGGTAGTGAAATCACTTGGTATTTGTCTTTCTCTGTCTGACCTACTTCACTTAGCATAATATCCTCTAGGTACATCCATGTTGTCATAAATGCCAATATTTCATTCTTTTTATGGCTGAGTACTATTCCATTGTGTTTATGTGTGTGTTTTCTCATATGTCTATTGGCCATCTGTATGTCTTCTTTGGAAAAATGTCTATTCATATCCTCTGCCCATTTTTTCCCAAGTATATCTTTTTTTAATTTTTTTTTATTATTATTGTGTTTCAGGTGTACAGGTCTGTGATTCATCAGTCTTACACAATTCACAGCGCTCACCATAGCACATACCCTCCCCAATGTCCATCACCCAGCCACCCCAGCCCTCCCACCCCCCTCCACTCCAGCAACCCTCAGTTTGTTTCCTGAGATTAAGATTCTCTGATGGTTTGTCTCCCTCTCTGGTTTCGTCTTGTGTCATTTTTCCCTCCCTTCCCCTATGACCCTCTGTCTTGTTTCTCAAATTCCTCACATCAGTGAGATCATATGATAATTGTCTTTCTCTGACTGACTTATTTTGCTCATTTTTTAATTGGATTGGGTTTTGTTTGTTATTGAGTTGTAGGAGTTCTTTGTATATTTTAGATAGTAACCCCTTATCAGAAATATGATCTGCATGGATGCCTGGGTGGCTCAGTCGGTTAAGCGGCTACCTTTGGCCTGGGTCATGATCCCAGGGTCCTGGGATCGAGTCCCACATCAGGCTCCTTGCTCAGCAGCGAGCCTGCTTCTCCCTCTCTCTCCCTCTGCTTGTGCTCTGTCAAATAAATAAAATCTTAAAAAAAAAAAAGAAATATGATTTGCAGATATCTTCTCCCATTCAGTAGCTTACCTTTTCATTATGTTGATGGTTTCCTTTGCTGTACAGAAGCTTTTTAGTTTGATGTAGTCCCACTCATTTATTTTTGCTTTTATTATTCCTACTCTGGGAGTTAGATGCAAACAACAACAAAATCAAAACAAAAAACCTCACTAAGACTAACACAAGGAGCTTACTACCTACATTTTCTTCTAGGAGTTTTACTGGCTTTAAGTCTTACATTGAAGTTTTTAATGCACTTTAAGTTAATTTTTGTATATGATGTAAGATTGTGGTCCAGTTTTCCAACACCATTTACTATCCTTTCCCCACTGTATATTCTTGCCTCCTTTGTCATAAATTAATTGACTATATATACATGGGTTTACTTCTGGGCTCTCCATTCTGTTTCACTGACCCGTGTATCTCCCTTTAAGAGAAAGCCAAATAAGAAAATATATCAAGGTAGCAATATGTAGTTTTCTCTATAAACCACAAACAACAACAAACCAACACAAAACCAAATAACAACAACAAAAAACCCACCACTGTGTCTAGGGTGGGTTTTTACCAAGAGGATCTGTTATTATAGATATAAAACAAGTAAAAGCAGACCAAAAATGGCAACTCCAGTTTTGTCCAGACAACTGGGAGAAAACTGCTCTTCTTCTTTATAAATACACCCTGCCATATATAATACAACCTGGTAAAGTTCTCTTTCACTCCACCAATAATTAATCTTGTTAATGTCCTGATGTGGACAGTCCACATCATTTAACTGATGATCCTTGTCTTCAGCAGTAAGTTGATCCTTTGTTAAAATCTTACTCTATAGTCACTGCCAAGATAGTGCACATTTATGCAAAATAAGGATTTCTATATAACCTTTTGTGACCAAAATATTCTTATTAGTCCAAGAGATGGGTGCTGTTTCTGGTAAGACTATGATTTACTGAATATTTTTCTCAGAACTATTTAGTACAGGGGTGCCTAGGTGGCTCAGTCGGTTAAGCGGCTGCCTTCGGCTCAGGTCATGATCTCCAGGTCCTGGGATCGAGCCCCACGTCAGGCTCCTCACTAAGTGGGGAGTCTGCTTCTCCCTCTCCCCCTGCTTGTACTCTGTTTCTCTCTCAAATAAATAAATAAAATCTTAAAAAAAAAAAAAACTAGTACAGTATTTGAAGAGCAAAGTGTTTTAACTGCACTAAGTCTCAGTGATACTATGTAAAAAGTTATTATAAATCTAGGCCCAAAAGTCATCAAATTATGTCATTAGATGCACAATTTTACTAACAAAGCCTTTTAGCCACAGAAATAATTTTCAGAATAAAATATACATTTTTAAATAGCACTGATTCCTGGCCAGTGAGTAGTAGTCTCAAATAATAGGTCATCAGACATTACCTTTATTAGTGTCTGGGAAATTTTCAAAGCTAAGATTAGAGATCAAGTCATTACTTATGTGGCCTTTAAAAATAAAGTATTTGAACAGATACTAAATCCCTTGAGCAGAAAATAAAATTACTAGAAAGCAAGAATACTCAACAACAAAAACATGTTTTTCCATGGCCACACAGCCCTTAGGTAGCTATACTGGACTATGCCAACTTCCAAGGCCAGAAGCCAGCCAATTTACTATAAGCCTAAGGACATCTCAGCCATAAAAGTTTTAAACAAAGATGAGTATTGAGTAAACACAAATGTTTACCTCAATGAGTAGTCACACTGTAAAATTCAAACAAAAAAACTTATGGAAAATTTGGTTTAGTCCTTTATTTTTAAAAAACGCCAACCATAAATCCAATGAAGATTGGGAAGGGCCCCAAGAAACATCTGAACTTCTGGAAAAAGTCTTTAGAAACATTTTATCTGTTGTTAAAAGGAGCTAAATTATCAGATGCTATTTTGAAAACACATAATAATGTAATTATGAGTCATATATCATAAATAAATATTAGGCACATAGTTTCTCAAAGTAGAAAATCTCACAGAGATCCTGCCTGATAGCTTATGGAAAGCCAAATGGTAGATAAAGGATTCTGCAGTTCAAAATGTGCCACAAAGGAAAAATAAACTGTGAAGAGGAAAGTTATTTTTATTTGACAAATGACATGCAAAGAATGTGCTTACAATATTCAGGATTATATATTCTAGACTAGTGTCACTGCTTTGTAAAAAGGTCTCTACATTGGAAACCAATGCTATGTGGCCCTGCACTGTCAACTTTCAAGCACAAGTAGCCTGCTATTTAATTTCCTCATTTATTTAGAATTATGCCACCTGAAATACACATTTTTTTAAAAATACGTAACTTTTATGATGGCTTTTGTGTTTGTTTCTTGAGAAACATGAGAGGCTATGTTCTGAACTGTCCTGCAGGTTGGTATATGACTTTCTTATGACTCAGCATGAATCAAGAGTGTTGTTTACCTGCCCAAAATACAATCCAAGATGAGTGATAATGTTGTCTTTTGGGTATGCTCACCGGACATAAACTATTCAGACACAACAATATGCTTATGATAATGTATTTTGTATGGGTGGGAAACTTCTAGAGGTTATGTGAAAACATGGCATTTAGGGCATTCACAAATTAAGTGGCACAGAAAAGGATGAAGGAGAATGAGTCTATCTTGGGGCACCTGGGTGGCTCATTTGGTTAAGCATCTGACTCTTGATCTCAAGCTCAGGTCTTGATCTCAGGGTCGTGAGTTCAAGCCCCATGTTGGGCTCCATGCTGAGCATGGAGCCTACTTAAAACAAAACAGAAAGAATGAGTCTATCTTGCTTCTTTGCCTCATCCCACTGGTGATGAAAACTAGCATATACATACAAAGATCTATGTGCAAAAAATTTTTTATGTCATAACTTTTTTTAGCAAGCAAGGAAGAACTAAAATCCCTTAGTAAAGAAGAAA